AGTGTCAAAGCACTCAATGATATTATAATAATAAAAAAAAAGTTTAAGTGTCAGATGAAAATGCCCTTGACTGTACATACCAGCATTTTAAGAGCCTGGCCAGTCACAGTGCGCTAAAGACGCTGGTTTAGGTTGGCTTCAGTCCTGAGGTTTGGACCAGTTGATTTCCACTTCTGGCTAGCTGAGTGCTTACATTCAGGTCCAGACAGCCACCAGGGAAGAGCACGGCACGCCTTGCTGGACAAACGCTTCTAATGCTAAACACAGACAGGTCAGGCCCTTCTCTGAAGAGGCCGCAGAAACCCGGGGGAAGACAGACAGTATTTCTATCCAGACAGGTGCAACAGGTGTTGTCTGATTTATTTCCTTTCCCTGTCCCTCGTGCTCAAGGGGAAGGTCCACCATTCTGGAATCAACCTGCCTCCTCCTCCCCTACTTCATCTAATCCACTTATGTTTCTGCACTTAGTTTTTTTCCATAGGTTGTAAATAAGAAAAATCATCAAAAATCGTGAGAGTATCCTAAGTAAATCAACAGTTAAATGCCAGGTAGTTTTACACAAGAGACGAAATTGGATTTATCATTACATTAGCATTAATATAAAAGGCAATATGGGATGGGCCATCTTTTTTGGAGGTTTTTCTTAGCAGGTTGTCCTTTGAGTAAGTATACTATCTTATATAATCCATGATGGTTACTCAGTAATGACCCAGACAAGCAGTCAGCACTTCTCAAAGCCCTGGTGTTGACACACCTGACTGTGCACAGGTAGGCTTCAGGAAATGATTGGCATGACCTTGAAGACTAATACTATGACAAACATCTCATACTTGCACATTTTATTGCTAAAGCAGAACGCGAAAGTGAACGTTTTCAGATAGGAGGCCAGTCGACGACATGCCATTGTCTTTATCAGCCGATTATATTTACATTTCAAAGATTATATTCTTGTTCTTGTTAATTCTTGTTATTCCGTTATTCAGTATGGTATTTAGACTCATTCTAGTGCATCTTGACCCGAAGACCCCAAAACCTCCACATATGAAATCACTAAGAAAAAAGGAATATAAAAGACCATGCCAAGCGCTACGCTTCAGCCTAAGCACAGCTTGTTTTCTTGAAAAGAAAGGTCTGTATGCCTGCAGGATACAGGAGGACTGAGGACTAATCACCTATAAACCTGCTGGCCATTAACATTAATCTGGTTAAAAGATATAGGAAGTCTTCTTTAAGGTGTCAAAGTGTACCGGCTTTTCTCACGGCAGTGGCTGGAAATCCTCTGAAAACGAAACGCGTACGATTGGGCAAACGTATATTCGTCTGGCCGTATCTAAAACTGCACTAATTTTGTTTTTAAATATCTTTTGGCAGAAGGTTAAAGTACATTGGGGTCCAAAAGTTTGAGTCCGCATAGAAAATCTGGGATTCAAAATCTTATTTAAACCTGGAAATAAACAAACTTTTAAGAGAGACATCATAACAAAAAATTAATAATAAATATATCAGATTCTTCCCTATTTAAGTAAATTTGTGACACTAAACATCTTTGTACAAATGGTCAGAAATTCTTGCTCCCATTGAAGCACAAGAAGCTCTTTGGATCATGCTGGAAAATGTAATCATCAGGTTTTACACGAACTTCGATCATGCAGCTAAAGTTCTACTGTCATTAAAACAAAAGAAAAAAACGTAAAAGTACAGAGACATTCTGAACTTAATTTAAATGCAACTTTTTGTTCAAAATGTTAAGCAGATAACATAATTAGCATTAAATTAGAAAAATGTTAAACAGAAGCGGTCTCATGCTTTTGGGACACCTCTGTATACAGTACATATTAGCAGATACATTTGGACTGAAGAAACGCTATGCACACTCTACCACAACACTAATATAAACTGCAATGATGAGGCGTAAATACGATCAAACGCAAAAAAGAATTCCCCATACTTCACCATCCATTGACTAAATCCAATTTGTTAAGACCCCTCCACAACTCACTTACCGAGTCCAACTCAATGGAAATTGAATTTCATAGATTGAACATCCCATTATCTCTTTCGGTCAGATCCTCATCTGAGTAAAGTATGGGTGAGGTGAGCGGCCCTGGAGCAGAGGAGAGACGCGGCTCCTCGCAGTCCGCCGCCTTTAACAGGGTAAAAGCCCTAGATATTAGTCATAAGTGTTCTTTAAATTCATTAGCATCTTCATGCGCGGGCGTCTGAAGTGTTGGGGGGAGATCACTTTAATAAGTTTAGCTTGGCGGTTCTGGTTCCTGTGCCGTCCTTGGTGTCACAGGGTAAGTGGCTGCCAGCAGCTCGGGGGTTGAGTGAAGGAAGTGACCAAGAAAGTCTTGCAGATGAGGGCTTAGGTTTGTACCTGGGCATTCAGAGATGATCCGCTCCAAGGTAAGAACTCGGAGCCCTTCTTTATTCCACAACATAATCATATTCAAGTTGTGCTTGTGAACACATCTGGTGTTTTCAATGCACAGCACAGCAAAAGCACCCTCACATCACTCAGTTTTGGCCAATGATGTCTTTTATGAATATGACAGCTAGCTAGCATCCTGTGTGGCTAAACAAAATGGACTGATCCAGCTATGACCTGCCTATGCTGGATGAGGGCACAACCTCAGATGTATGTATAGGCTGCCTTGAGAATGATATCCCAACAGTGCTGTGTAATGACCCAAATTTCCCGCTTAACACCAGTGGGCATAAACCCAAGCCTCTTATACTCAAATGACTCAACCATTGGAATTCATTCGCCATTTACTGCAGGGGGAAAAAGTCTATAACTGCACAGCTACAACTATTATGGCACATCTTCACGGGAAAAGAGGTGTTAAACAGAAAGGCAACTAAATAAGTCAAATTATCGCTATACGCAATGGCGGTTGCTCTAAGAAAGCCTAACAGGAGCTAGGGCTAACCGAGACATTTTTAGCAAGAGCCAAGTGGCTAATGAGAAAAGAGAATATTGTCTTCTCTTACTCTTCTCATTAGAAGCACTGAAGCTTCCTGGAGATTTAACTATCCACAACAGCGCATGCAGACACCGCCAACACAAACTCTCACTGCAAACACCGCCGAAACTACTGCTGACACTTCAATTCAAAAAACGTGAGTGAAAAATCACCTAAAGACCCTCAGAAGACAGAAAGCCTGCAGTCTCAAAGCAACAGCTAGCTTTAAAAGGCATGATCTAGTGATTAAAGAATACTTAATACTAGATCAGAACCTCAAGGCCGAGCTTTTCAACAAGTTCTTTAGTAGAAGCGGAGATGGTCTGACAAAAATGTGGTTCCCCAGACTCACCTGCCAGGGCTGACATCTGCTGGCTAGTTATCACCTGTAATGCATTTAGGCAGAGCGAAAAGGCTGGCGGAAAAACCGTTCGCTTCAGCCACTGCTCTTAGCTCACTGCTGCACCGACCGCAGGCTCATAAGCTTCTTCAGGCTTGTGTGCCAGAGAGGAGGGAGGCCAAACACAGCTCATGAAGATTTAATGAACGCTGAATTGCTTTATTTCCCTCGCACTGATTGGAGACGGAGATGTGGAACTTGTAGTAGCATGGGTTTTATTTTTTTCATGGAAAGCAAATATTAAGACTGTTTCAAATAATGGGAAACTTAATTACGCTGCCTCATTTAGGCCAAATTTTAAGGCAGCACTGCATATATACTTCACAGAGACCGCAATCCCAGAATGCATTGTGTTGACTTTAATCAAAAAATACCAAAAAGTATCAATAAAAATGCTTAATGTAATTAAAAAGTGATACTTTACCCAATATTTGTGTTTAGAGTGAATTGAGAAACTGCCTAAGTAGTTCACTAGGTTTTGAAAAAGGTATTTTCTATGCTTTTTTAAAATGAATGTAACTTATGAATATTAAACCGTTATAGTTAGACAGTTATAGCATAAATGGCATGGACACTTAAACTTAAATGGCAATTTAAAGCACAGAAACAAGTACTTTTATATCACATGATACTCAACAATCACTACAACATTTTTATATGGTACTTTTAGGAACTAACCAATAATACTTCTATGGTCTCACAATAGTGCATATCCAAAAACACTGACATTTATGGCTACCTATGGTACCTTTATTAATACCTAGTTAGTGATATAAAAAGTGATGCAAGGAAAAATATACAAATTAACAGGTGTTAAGGCCTGTTCACTACTATAACTAAAGATAGGTATATCGATAACTAAATTAGTGTCCATAGGTGCTGCGGTTATATCGTCTGCTGCTTTAAATGCTCAAAGTTTTTCCATTGTGATTCCAATGCCATTGTTTCTCTGTCGTTATTATTTTAGCTGTAATATGGACTTCCCTATTCTCATAGAATTAAAATGATTACTAAAACTTCATAGTTATAGTTATCATCCTTGATTTGAATGGCCCTTTAGCCTATGATGACCAAGTACTTTCTTGCTTTCCACAGTCTTTAACAAGAGCTACACCCAAAATAGAATTGAGCATGCGGTTAAGGCACATGCTAAAATATTAAAGGTGTTTAATTTAAATTTAACACAGTGGAAATGAATCAGGTAGCCACTCAAGCCGTTCTGAGATCTACGACATCAAGAAAGTTGCCATGACTGCAAATACCTCATCAACAATATCACTTTTCATATGGTTCATGAGAAGACCTCATGTTCATTTCTGTGAATGTATCCTGTGGGCTCACAAGCATGGGTATTTTGTTGGCACATCTGGTGTGTCTGTAGTGTCTTCCAGAAAAGTAAATGAGCGTATTTGTGTGTGTTAGAGGGTACGTGTTCGTCAAAATAAGGGGCTATGAGGGTAAAGACCTAAGGGTTGTTTAAAACTCTTTGGTGCTATACTGATGTCTGATATGTCTAACCGCTTTCCGGCAGATCATGGTTGATGTATCAATCCCGGGCACTGGGATTGGCACTTAACTTTTTGCCCACCCACACACTCACACATTTACACAACATGCACTCAACAAATTCTCACCTTTTTCTCATGATAGTGTAATGCAGCTCTTCCTGTTTGATGTCTTCATGATCTCCGCTGGCCCGCTCGCTGCCCTCACTGTCGTCACTGCTGAAAACGGAGGCCAACTCCTTTTTGGGCACCCGTGTTGGCGGCAAGGGGATGGTGCGTTTCTCTGCCAGTCGCCCACGGTTCTGCAGGAGCACAGAGGGGACAGACAGACTGAGACTCTGGGAACAGCCTTCTCTGATTTTACTGGCTTGAGCTGCGGTACAGAGAAATGGCTAACGTTCCCGATCCGTCACACGCTGGCTGAGGTTTCAATTCTCTTTAGGCTGATAAAACACATTTTGAATGGATTACAGTCATATTCATAATGTTTTTTTCGCATTTGCATTCATGTAATTTGATTCATGAAAGGCTAGTTTTCAGTACACACATAGACTTAAAGCAATGTGAATTCATAATTTACCCAAGCAGCCGGACCGGTGTGGATATTCACTGTACTTCAGAATCACAGATTCTAGCCTACGTCTTGGAATATATGACCAAAATAAGAATTTTCACTGGAAAATGTCATCTGATCAAGTAAGTAACATATCTGCCACTTTTATTCAGACCAACTGAGGAAAATGAGCAGCAGCCGGCGGATTCGACGAAGGAGTGGCCGGCGGGCTTGCGACAACCACATGTGACGACCTCGGGCCTCCGCTTCGTCCACAGTGAAAGCCGATCCGACGATCCACAGCGTGAAGTTGATGTATTTCCTCAGCGACCAGCACGGCTCAGCTCTAGGCATGACGAAGCGGATATCGTCCTCTTTTGGAAGGCCAACAAAAGGA